AAGTACGTTTCCCGCCATGGTTGCGGGGTTCCCTCATAGCTTTTTGGCCCCGCCTCTTCACTGATTGCTACTTGGGGCCTCCTCTCCCCTGCTCCATTTAGCTTTTTCAAAACCCCGTCTTAAATATTTTATGGTTCCCGCCCCCACTACGTGGGTTTCTAGGCTATTCCCCTTTTCCCGACAACGACTAAGAAAAATTCCTAAAATTCCCTTTTACTCGTAGGAGTTTTTCCCCTTTTCCAAATTTGTGACCCCCTTTTTTGTGTTTCCCCTCTCTAGAACATCCTGTTTTGTCCAAACCTTTCCAATTCCTCGCCGAAATTTTTTATGTCATTATTTTAAAAATTTAAAGTTTATTTCTTTAAAGATTACAATGATGAGTTTCAGAATTTTGGGTTTTGGGGGTTTTCATGAGTTAAAAAAAATTAGTGTACCACTAGAAAAAAACCCAGCATGGTAGGGGTTTCGGGCAGATTAAAACTTAAGTTTAAAATATTACAAAAATTTTGAGGTAAATTGGTATTTTTGGGTTTAAATGGGCCTAAATTTTCTTTTTTTGCGGGGTTTGCCCAAAGTGAATTTCTTTTTTTTGGCCCTAATACTTTGTGGGCGTCAGGCCGATTTCCCCTAACCTTTTCCCTTTATAGGGCAATCCCCCCTTTGCTCTGAGGGCTAGTCTTGTTGCAAACTTTTTCCCCTTTTTCCCCAAATTTTTTGAAAGTTTCTTTACCAGGAGGGTTTGGGTTCCCCAAAATGGTGTCCTGGTCCACCTTTTTTCACTGATCGCTACTAGCAGTGGGGTCGTAAAAGGGGGGGGGGAGGTCCCCCCCAGGTGACCCCAAAGGGCCAAAAAAGTGCTTGACCAACATGAGGGGGAAAAACCTTTGTTTCTATATAAACCCATTAAATGATTACAAAAGTAAAAAATAGTTTATAGAAAAAAACATTGATTTTTTATTTTTTAGATGGGTTTTTTTCAGGATTGAAAACAAGGAAAGTAAGATGGGATTCATTGAGATATTACCTGTATCAAGGTGGAAAACCGGGGAAATAAGGGGTTTTTTTGATACTTTTAATTTTTTTTTCCCTCTCTCAAATTTTTTGATGATAAATAGGATCTGTTGCCTTTTTATTTTGGGGGTTTTTTCGTTTTTTCCTCAATATTACTGCTGTATGCCCCTTTTGGCTTAGCGCTTTTTTTTGATTATAATTATATAAAATCCTCAAAATTACTAGATTATAATTTTTTTTAATAAAAATTTAGAAGTGGTCTCCCTGTTCGGTTTTTGCTAAACATTGTCCAAATGGGAGGGAAGAGGGGCGTAAGTGGTTTACTCCCCATTCCCCGCCCTTGGTTTCGAGGGGGGGACACCAAAAATGCCGCCCGGAGTAGTGACCCAACCCTAGCAACGCCCCTGGCTACTGTCCATGAGCTTTATCAAAAAGGGCTTAAAACTGGGTGGTTATGCCTCCCCTACGTCACTAGCCAGGACCAAATTTCCCTTTGGGCAAAATCTTGGCTAAAAAAAAATTTCTTCCTGACATCCCTTTGATTCATTAGTCTTCAATTTCCAATTTACTTTGTTCCATCTCGGAACCTTTCCCGTCTGTCCACTTTTCCAAATTCCCCACAATATTTTGTATGTTATGTCTCCCTTAACCCCCCTGTCCTCCAAAATCGACAGGCCGTTTTCCCTTAACTTTCTTCGCAGGCACCCCCTCAAGGAAGGTTCCTTGATGTTGGTGAGGGGCTCTTGATTTAGGGAATTGGATCTGTGCCCCAGTTCCCCGAATTAAGCCTGAATGCCTTCCACATCCCCCCCCAGTGCGCTGTAAAATCCTCCGGGTTTAGCGCTTCCCCTTGATTATAATAATCTTCGCAGGACATTCCCTTAGCTCTGGAACTAGTTCGTCTTGTTGCAAACCTTTGCACTTTCTCTAATTTCTTGACGTGCTTGACCAGGTGCGGATTCCAAACTGGTGCTGCTTACTCCAGTATGGGCCTGACGTACACGGTGTAGTTGTCTTGAACGATTTCTTACCCGAGATATCGGAACATTATTCTCAGGTTTGCCAGGTGCCCATATGTTTTGCAGCAGTTATCTGGTTGATGTGCCCTCAGATGGCCTGGTATTATTCTCTCCAAGATTCTTTGGCCACCTAGCCTATACTCTATCTGCAGTCTTTGCCCTTCCCAATCTTCATGACTTCGCATTTGGTGGGTTTTTAAAATTAGTTAACCAGTTGTTGGACCAGGCTTCCACCCTGTCCAGATCTTTGAAAGTCTTGCTGATCCTAGTCGGTTTTAATTCCCCCTCTTTAAAACCTAGCATCTACAAAGGGGGACACTTCTAAGTTTATCCCTTTGACATGTCAATTCACGAATACCAAAAACAGCACTGGTTCTGGATGCCCTCTGTGGAACCCCGCTTGCCACAGGCGCCCACTCTGACACTTCGTCACGTACCATGATCATTGTTGCCTCTGTCAGTATTCTCTAATACATTGCAGTGCCCTTCCTGTTAGCATGCCCGATCCTCTAGTTTTTCCACAAAATCTCTAATGAGGAACTGTCGAAGGACGTCTTGCAGTCCAAGAAAACTCTATCTCCCCACCCCTCTCTCTCGTCTTACTTCATGATTACTGTGTGTACACTCGCCTAGTTGTGGTTGCAGGGGCCCAGTTCACAGCTCCTGGCCTTGCCTCTTCACTGGTTGCTACTAGATCACACTTCCTGCTCCACAAACTTTATCATACTTCTTAAAGCTATGTATGAACCCTGTCTCCACTACATCACTTCTCATACTATTCCACTTCCTGCCCAATTATGTGACTGAAGAAATACTCATGATATCCCTGTGATTCATCAGAGTCGTCCCATCTCTGGAACATCCCTCTGTCCACCTTGTCGTTCCTCTCGGTATTTTATCATATCCCCCTCTCTCCTGTCCTCCGTGTTTTCAGGTCGATTTCCTTAATCTCTCCTCGTAGGGCATTTCCTCTTAGCTCCCGGGTAGTTTGTTGCAAACCTATGTACTTTCTCTTGTTTCCTTACATGCTTGGCTAGGTGTGGGTTCCAAAATGGGTGCCCGCATATTCCCAATGTGTTTGTGTTGTGCCAAATAAGTAAAATTGGTCAGTTGAGTTTTTCAAATTAAGTCCTAAAAAATTTTTTCTTGTACATTTTAAGATATATTTTTCATTTGTTAGTGTTAAAAAAATTTAAATTTTTTACCAAAAGAACCTGAGAAGACTTGTCTAACTTTTTTTTTTTTATTCGCCGGTATTCTCCCGGCCCCGGGGCTTTTCCAAGTAGTGGTGACCCGCCTTGGCTCCCTATCTGGGAGTGTCTCGAGACCTAAGTCTCCCATGGGAGGGGGACAAGTACCTCCTCATCTTTGGGACCAAGTGTCCCCAGGCCTAGCCACAAATTCCCCGCCCTCACGGGGCTCATAGGGAGAAGCTAGGCCTCTGGTCTGCCATCTACCCCGCCTCGAAGGGGCTCGTGGGGATGGCAGCCTTATGAGCTGCAGATGGTAGCAAGCTCAGGCCTATCTCTCTTATCTAACCTTATTATAACAAGTGCAATTTAATTTAGCCTAATCCAAGTAATTAACTTTTAGACAAGTTTACAATAATTTAATAATCAACAGACACAATGAAATATATATTTTTTTATAGGTTCAGAATTATTTTTGCTAAATTATTGCATACACAAATTTTCGCTTGCCTAATTCAGTGGTCCACCTTTGACACACTCCCTCTTCAACTTTTTGACAGCAACTGATTTATTACACAAACTTTGATAATCCTTCCTTTAGCACTCCTCACAACCCCTCCTAACTTTACCATTATTGGCATCTCCACCCTTATTTATTCTTATATCCTGCATCATTTCCTACCCAGCAGTGCTGCATGACCCTGGCAGATTTAGTGCTTCCTTTTGATTATAATAATACAATGGACCCTCGACCAACGGTGTTAATCTGTTCCAGAGAGCTTGTCCTTAGGTGAATTAATTTTCCCCACAAGAAATAATGGAAAGCCAAGTAATCTGTTCCAGACACCCAAAAGTATGAAAAAAAAAAAAAAATTCACATGAAATACATTTTCCTACAGAAAAACAAGGATACATGCACAATAAGAGTAGCTTCTGGAGCCACATGCGGCTCAAGAGTTGCAGTGTGCCCACGTCTGTATATGCACATTATTGCCAACAGTACTTTGCATTATTGAATGTTATTGCACTAGCCTCACTTCACAGGATGCTATATATCTACAGAAATTTTGCTATGCAAATCACTCGGCGCTGTACGACTCTTGTGGGCTTATTTTGAGTCTTCTCAAGGAAGAGGTGCCTTGGTGCCAGTGAGGGGCTCTTGATCCAAGGAATGGGACTTCTCCCCTTCTTTGAATTGAACCCAAATGCCTCTCATTCCCAGCCAGTAGATAACCACTGTGGGTTTAGCGCTTTCTCCTAATAAAATAATAAATACCTGTTGCCTCTTCCTTACTGCTTAACTTGGTTTACATGATCCTTTGATTAGCTAAGAAACTATCTAACTGGCCCAGTTTGGCATTTTCTATAAGTATAAATAGTGGGCCTTGTTTTTAATCTCCACCGGGGATAATTTGGACACTGCCCTGAGTAACTAGCAGCAGCATCAGTGACTGAGGTAAATAAGAACATAGGTTTGAGGCATAACTCTACTGCTCACTCGTCACAAAGCAACAGTTTCATGGGCCAGTGTGTAACACCTGCGTAGCACTTTAAAGAGTTCAGGGTAAAGTATTTTATTAAGATGTTGGTTATAACTATGACCATAATTTTTAAAGGGGTGGACTGGTAAGCCAGTGGAAGGCCTCGGCCAGATGACCAAAAGCTCCAATGACGGATCATTATTTCACTAATACCCGCATCAGGAAACACTTGTCCTGTTTCCTGACGGACCTTACCTTACCTAAGTATTTTATTAAACTTACTTTTTCTCCTGCCACAGGTTGTGAGGTAGACTGGTGTGGGCAGCATGGGCCGTGGAGTGGAGATGACAGGCTGTGGCAAGTTTGTCCGCTTCCTCATGTTCGCTATCAACTTTATTATTTGGGTCTGTAGCTACACGAGCTTTTCGCCAGTATTTTGTATATAATGTACAACCCCAGAGTAGTTTCATAATTAAAATTAGTATACAGTGGACCCCCGCATAACAATCGCCTCCGAATGCGACCAATTATGTAAGTGCATTTGTATGTGTATGTTTGGGGGTTTGAAATGGACTTATCTACTTCACAATATTCCTTATGGGAACAAATTCGGTCAGTACTGGCACCTGAACATACTTCTGGAATGAAAAAATATCGTTAACCGGGGGTCCACTGTATAGGTAATTAGGTTGGGGGGGGGGGGGTGAAGGTTTGAAAAATAAACATTTTAAATAAATTCTATTTGTACTTAAATTTCAATAGTATTTTATTTCTATTTAATTGTCCATAATATGAAGTGGGAAAATTAAACTAGTATATTAATGCTGTCAGTGTCCTGTTGCATTTTGAAGGTTTGGAAAAAAAAAAAAATAATGGGAAGTTTTTTCTTTATTTTGCAGGTATCGAGCATAGTAATATTAGTGTTAGGAATATGGACAGTTGCGGACCGACCATACTTAGAGCGGCTGCTGGGAAGTGAAATGTACATGACAGCTGCTTATATTCTTATTGGCACTGGCTGTGTCACATTCTTCGTCTCTTTTCTTGGGTGCTTTGGTGCCCTCAGAGAAGTTAAATGTATGCTGCTCACTGTAAGCATTTGAACTAGTTTCCATTTCTTACATGATTTTTAATAGTTTACAAGACACATAAGAGCTGTGGTTCTGTGCCCCACATCCCTAGGAAATGTTTGATTAATGTTGCACCCCCTACAAAAGTAATCTCTCACTTGCCTAAAATGCAAATATAAATTAAGGTATTAGAAAAGATTTGGTAAAATAAAAAGAATTGTGCTCTTCATAAGGACACTGTTGCACCCCCTGAAATGCCATCTCTCACCCCCTGGAGGTGTGTGAACCCCTAGTTGGTAACCCCCTGCATTAGAATTCAATTTTTCTATTAGTAATGATAAATAACATTACAGCATAAAGAAAACTATTAGTAATAAAGTTTAATTATAATTTTCTTTCCTCAGTATTTTATTGTTGTTCTGCTGCTCTTCATAATCCTCCTGATTGGTGGCATCCTTGGCTACGTTTTTAAGGACAAAGCTAGGATCAACATGAACCATGCAATGTTGAATGCCATGAAAGAGTACAAGATTGATTCTGATTCTCCATACACCAAAGCTTGGGATGAAACTCAACAAGCAGTAAGTTATTTTTTAAATTAAAATGATTAAGGATTTTAAAAAATCAGCACAGAAAACCAGATAGTTGAATGGACATAAAATTTGGTAAAACATTAAGGTAATAAAATGAAATGACTGGTGCTTAGGCTAGATAATCTGCATGCATTATTCTAGCAAGTGCACCTAAGGCAACATATGAGGGTAATCTCAAAGGAAACTCTTCTCTTCCCCCCCCCCTCCAATCATAAATGATACCTGTATCTCAACACTAGCCCTCTGTACCTAGATACACGCAAGAGGAATAAATATTTCATGACTGTCATAAAACTAATACTGAAAAATGTTTTAAATAAAAAAAAAAACTGTGCAGAAATCTTTATTTACTACAAGTACATGTATGTGGTATAGCTGGCATCGATGACATACTACTATATAAAAAGCCCCCCTTGGTATGCTGAGCATTTTGGGCAAATTAGATCAGTGTCCCAGGATGCGACAGACACCAGTCAACTAACACCCAGGTACCCATTTTACTGATGGGTGAACATAGACAAAAGTTATAAAGAAACATGCCCAACGTTGCTACCCTGGCTGGGAATATAACCCAGACCCTCTGTGTGAAGCGAGAGGTTTAGTCACCGGGTGATGAAATATGAAATACTCTTCAAAAAAACATGCCTCTTTAAACCCTTTGACTGTCGCGGCCGTATATATACGTTTTACGAGGTGCCGTGTTTGACGTATATATACTCATAAATTCTAGCGGCTTCAAATCAAGCAGGAGAAAGCTGGTAGGCCCACATGTGAGAGAATGGGTCTGTGTGGTCAGTGTGCACCATATAAAAAAAATCCTGGAGCACGCAGTGCATAATGAGAAAAAAAAAACTCCGACCGTTTTTTTTTAATTAAAATGCCGACTTTGTGGTCTATTTTCGTATAGTATTTATGGTTGTATTCTCGTTTTCTTGGTCTCATTTGATAGAATGGAAAACATATTACAGAAATAGAGGTGTTTTGATTGATTTTACTATAAAAAGAACCTAGAAATGGAGCTCAAAGTAGGGGAAATGTTTTGATTTTTGCCAATGTTCAAAAGTAAACAAATGATGCCATTGTCCAATAAATGTCCAACTAGCCATTCTAATATGCAGTCATGAATGGGTTGATGTTATTTATACAGTTATTACAGCATTTTCAGTAGTCTGCATAATAGTAAGTCTAATATTTTTTGTTGAATAAAAATTCAAAATAGAAAGCAAGGGGGCCTGGAGACGTGACTGATGAACAAAGAAAACGTTATTTTAGAGCCTGGAATGTCTGCATTGTTCATTCTGGACCTTATTTTGAAATTGTCCATATTTTTTAGTTTTCGTGAAATTGGCCAAATTGCAAATTTCTGACCACATTATTAGGTAGTTGAAATCAGTAAATGGGCAGTTTCTTGTACTCAATCGATAGAAAAAATGAAGTTCTAAAGAAATAGCTATGAGTTTGGGCGACTGGAACAATGGAATTAGCCGAAAATAGGGCTCAAAGTGGGCGAAATCGCCGATTTGTAAACAGCGCCGACGTCGCTAACTTCGCGAGAGCATAATTCCGTCAGTTTTCCATCGGGAAAAGATTATCATTTCATAAGAAAAAATAATTTTTTTTTTTTTTTTAAATTTTGCAACGCCAGGAGACACCTCAGGATTGGGGGTTGCGACAGTCAAAGGGTTAACGTTTATGATCAAATGTAAAGCTGGCTGAAATTAATTTTTTCGAATTTTTTTTAATATTTCTCCAATAGAATTATTCTTTCAACAAACCAGTCATATCCCACCCAGGCTGTAGAATTATAATTAGTATTTAATGTAGAAATTAATACTTTAATTTTAATTAGTGTTAAGTATGCATGTTCGTGGATGTATGGGTATATTAACCCTTTCAGGGTCCGTCCCGTAGATCTACGGCTTTACGTTCAGGGTCCAAACTGTAGATCTACGCCATGAGCTCAGCTCACTCTGATAAACTGTGAGTGGTACATTTGGGCCTAGATATGAGAGAATACATCTGTGGTATGTGTGCACCACATAAAACAGATCCTGCAGCACACTGTGTATAATGAGAGAAAAAAAATGAAATCATGATTTTTCGATTAAAACAGTAACTTTGCAGTGTTTTTTCGTATGTTTTTTAAAGTTGTATTTGCGATTTCTTGGTCTCATTTGATAGAATGGAAGACATATTACAGAAATAGAGATGATTTTGATTGGTTTTAGCATTGGAAATGGCTTGAAACTGAGCTCAAAGTAGCGGAAATGTTAAATTTTTGCCGATATTCAAGAGTAAACAAACGACCTCACACGTCTAATACACATCAGCTGGTGGGTCTAATATACATTCACAAATATGGTGATGATATTTATACAATTATTACAGTATTGCATAACAGTAAATCTTCTATTTTTTGGTGTGAATAAAAATTCATTATGTGAATAAAAAATCAAAATGGAATTTATTTGTAAAGCCTCAAAACATAACTAATGAACAGAGGAAATGTTAGTTTAGTGCAAGGAATGCCTACATTGTTCATTCTGGACCCTATTTTGAAATTGGAAAATTTTGAACTTTGTGTTAAATTGGCCAAATTAACAATTTCCGATCATTTATTTTGTAGTTGAAACACTTGGCGATTTCTTGTGCTCAATCGATAGAATAGAAGTAATACTAGTGAAATAGCTAAGAATTTGGTTGTTTGGAATAATGTAATTGGCCTAAAATGGGAGTCAAAGTCGGCAAAATCGCCGATTCGTAAATATCGCTGACACATCAAAATTCGCGAGAGCATAATTTCGTCAATTTTCCACCAAATTTCGTACTTTTTGTTTTATTACCTTCACAAAAAGATTCTCTACGATTTCATAAGAAAAAATAACATTTTTTTTTTGAAAATTCTTGGACACTGGTGCGTGACTCCAGATTTGGGCCTTGGACCCTGAAAGGGTTAATACATAAGAGTTGATATTTAAAGTGTCCAGGACTGATTTTTCATGATAGGTTCTCTAGTTAAAAGAAAGTGAAAGCTCAGTAAAATGGTACTGAAAGACTAACTTGCAAGATAGGCCAACCAGCACACAACTGGCATATTGGTAGTGCCTTATGTTTGGTATACATTAATCATACTTAAGTGGGGATTAAGTTGTATTTTGTAGTGCTAATGTAGCAACTGGTAAGTTTAAACTTTAAAACCTCAATTAAAAAACTTTTCAATTAACCTGAGCATTTCAATCTTATTTCTAGCTACTCTTGTAAAAGCAAATACTTTGTGCCTGCTATACAGTTTGACTCTAGTTTGAGGGCCGGATACATTAGGTGTTCAGTGTTGAAGCATGCTAGTACAGGGGTCCCCCAAGTGAATGAGATGCATTTCTGAAAATAGTTTGGAAACCAATATTCTAATCTGCAAACTAGTTTTTCTATGAAAGCCTATTGTCTAAGACTGACTAACCTTGGTGTAGGTGCTGTACCATGAAAGTGGTAAATGAGTAAAGGATGTATCTTAAGTCAAATCATAAGCAGATAATAAACTCCATATCTGAATAATGAATAAACATGTATTTAGTCTTGTGATAAGCTTTACCATTTTTATTTTTTAGATGAAATGCTGTGCCATAGCACATCAAGAGGAATGGCCAACAAATAACAAGGAATTTTCAATGTCTAATCTCCACGTTCCAAAATCGTGCTGTAAAAAAGATGACACTTCAGGAGAGGTGAGGCATGTTTTATTCACTAGTCTTAACACTGTTTGTCCTCCAGTGGGTAATCACCCTGATCAGATTTGGAGACGGAGGTTTGTGAGCAATTAATTTATTAAATGAACGCGTAAGAGACTAAAAATATTACCTACTAGAAAATTTGTGAAGTACCAAGGTGCAGTGGACCCTCGCTTTACGATCAGCTCCCAATGCGACCAGTTATGTAAGTGTATTTATGTAAGTGCGTTTGTACGTGTATGTTTGGGGGTCAGAAATGGACTAATCTAATTCACAATATTCCTTATGGGAACAAATTCGTTCAGTACTGGCACCTGAACGTACTTCTGGAATGAAATAATATCGTAAACCGGGGGTCCACTGTATAAGAATACGTACTTTGGAAAAGTAATATTACAAATGTAATGTGTACTTGGAGAAAACTGAAATTTCTGGGTAAACATGTTTAGGCTTAATTCTTTCATAATTTTTGGTCAAGTGATTGAAATCAGTGGAACACATTGAAAGATGGCCGTTAATTGGAAACATTTGCTGTAATAGTTGACAAATTATAAATCCTACATTTGAATTTATAAGCTTGATACCACTCAATGTGAATGCAAAGGAGGCTAAATATATTAAAAAGGTCTACAGTTGTCCAATTATGAATTTGAATGCATCATATGAGGCTGAAAAGGGTAATGAAATGGCATGTATAGATGGTGTAAATGTTATACAGGTCGGCCATCACTAATCTGGTAATCAGTTATTCAGTTCCATCAGTAATCTGACACTAATTTTGGCTAGCATAACTTCAAATTTCATCATTATATGGACTCAGAAATTGTGCAGATGGTTGCAAATCCACAGCAGCAAGCCAGTGGAGGAGAAAGCAGTGAGGAGGATGTAGCAGAAAGTCTCTAGTGATAGGTTAAGTGTATTCTAATATAACCTCTCTGTAATCCGGCAAACTCCTTAATCCGGTACACTACAGGTCCCAGTGATGCCGGATTAGTGATGGTTGACCTGTACATGCATGAAGAAACTTGTTGTACTTAAATTATAAAAGATAGTAGTAATGTTTTTAAAATATTCTAATGGCACTTCTAAAATGTCACTATTTTAACATTTAATTAAACTAATGAAAGGTGGTGAAATATGAAATACTCTTCAAAGAACATGCCTCTTAAACATTTACAATCAAATGTAAAGCTGGCCGAAATTTTCTTCTTCGAATAATTTTTTTTAATTCTCCTGCAGAATTTTCAACAAACTGGTCATATCCCACTGAAGTTGTAGAATTATAATCCGTATTTAATGCAGAAATTAATACTTTAATTTTGAAATTTTATTTTACATATTTTGATAATGGGGGAAAACTTTTTTTTTTTCAAAATGGTATAACATTTGAAAGTTTAATTTTTAAGTATATTTACTTAAATTTATTAAGGGTTTATCTGGTAATAGAATAATTTAAAAATTTCAGATGCTGGACTGTCAGAGAAATCCCACAAAGGAAAATTCTTACACTGAAGGCTGCTTCTCCAAAGCGATCAGTTTTGTGGAAAATCATGCGCTTATTATTGGAGTTGTTGGTATTGCAGTTGCAGTCATCACGGTAAGCACATCTGAAAAAGGAGCCCCCTCCCCCTCGTTCTTATTTTCTTTAATTGTGAATTTGTAACTGTTAAATGTTTTAATGTGCTGCAAAGTAATGTTGCAAAAATTAGAATTGCAAGTTAGTAATTGCAGCTGGTATGCTAGTGTTTGCTGTCATTGGCTATGGTAACACTACCTGGTCCTATTTTAAACTGTTGTGCCACTGGTTTTATCCCTCCCCGTTTTCTCATTGCTTACTCATTCTTTCCATTGGGTCTTGTATTCAGGGAATGCTAGCCCCATAGGGGTCGTACAACATTTGGGCTTTTTCACATGTCTTCCTGTGCACTTGATTTGCAGGTGCTTGCTGAGGGCAGGCATAATTCTCGTGCAATTAGTACTGTCTCAAGTATTGTTTGTGTAACCTTGGGTGGAAGCCTGTGGTTGGTTGGTTGGTTGGTTGGGTGGTCCTCAGCCTGGGGTAGGAATGTGTGGCTAGTCATTCACCCAAACTGTTACCTTAATCCTGCCACTGCACAAGGTATCTCTTGACTTAAATGTAATGTGTGGGGGTTGCCTCTGCTCTGGAAAGCTTTCCCTTCTCCTCCCTATCACTGGATATTTGGGTGACTAACATCCTGATAACATTTTTTTGGCCTAAATGTGATCCTTGTTTGAATTAGATTCCCGAGATTTAAGGAAGAGGTCATTATCCAGAGATCTCCCAGCTTCCCCACCAAGTGCACTGCTGGAGTTGCTTCAATAGATGGTCGATCATGTTACAGAGGTACTAAAGTTCCTTGAATGTCGGAGATCAGCTACAGAGCACAAGGGTGTGGGGGGGCCCCTGTTGGTTCCTGGGTCACATTGAGTCCTGGGAAAGGAAAAGTGTACAGACTTGAGTTCGTGTTCAGCAGATTGCAGGCATTTATCTGCCCTCCAACATGAATTTACTAATGAACTTGTATTTTGAGGATTGGGGGGCATGCATCTTATTAATAGCCACATGTTAGCAGGTCCTACTGTTCCTGCTTAATAGCTTGTGGCATGCAGCTGACAGGGAAGACATTTTAACCCTTGTACCACAGCTTGTGCCTTTTGCAGACATTTTTATGATTAACACATTGGCCGAGTCCCCCCATCCAAGGCAGGGTGGCCTGAAAAAAGGGAAACTTTCATCATTCACTCCATCACTGTGTTGCCAGAGGTGTGCTTTACACTACAGTTTATAAAACTACAATATTAACACCCCTCCTTCAGAGTGCAGACACTGTACTTCCCATCTCTAGGACTTTAGTCCAGCCTGCCGGTTTCTGTGAATCCCTTCATAAATGTTACTTTGCTCACACTCCAGCACTTAAAGTATTAAAAACCACTTGTCTCTATTCACTCCTATCAAATACGCTCGTGCATGCTTGCCGGAAGTCCATGCCCCTCACACACACAACCACCTGTACCCCCTCCCTCCAACCTTTCCTAGGCTGACCCCTACCCTGCCTCCACTACAGATTTATACACTCGAAATCGTTTCGTTCCATTCTCTACATGTCCGAACTACCTCAACAACCCTTCCTCAGGCATCTGGACAACAGTTTTGGCAATCCCGCACCTCCTAACTTCCAAACTACGAATTCTCTGCATTATATTCACACTACACATTGCCCTCAGACATGACATCTCCACTGCCTCCAGCCTTCTCCTCACCGCAGCATTCATCACCCATGCTTCACACCCATATAAGAGTGTTGGTAAAACTATACTCTCATACATTCCCCTCTTTGCTTCCAAGGACAAAGTTCTTTGTCTCCACAGACTCCTAAGTGCACCACTCACCCTCTCCCCCTCGTCAATTCTATGATTCGCCTCATTTTTCATAGACCCATCTGCTGACACGTCCTCTCTAAATATCTAAATACATTCACCCCCTCCATACTCTCCATCCAATCTGATATCCAATCTTTCATCACCTAATCTGTGTTATCTTTGTAATCTTATTTCCTATGTTCACTTCTAATTTTCTTTTACATACCCTACCGAATTCATCCACCAACCTCTGCAACTTCTCTTCAGAATCTCCCAAGAGCAGTGTCATCAGCAAAAAGCAGCTGTGACAACTCCCACTTTGTGTTTATTTATCTTTTAACTCCACACCTCTTGCCAAGACCCTTGCATTCACTTCTCCTACAACCCCATCTATAATTATGTTGAAGAACCACAGTGACATCACACATCCTTGTCTAAGCCTACTTTTACTGGGAAATAATCTCCCTCTATCCTACATATTCTAACCTGAGCCTCAGTATCCTTGTAAAAACTCTTCACTGCTTTCAGTTACCTACCTCCTATACCATACACCTGCAACATCTATCATATTGCACCCCCATCCACCCTATCATGTGCCTTTTCCAAATCCATAAATGCCAACAAAAACCTCTTCACTGTAAACACTTGGTCTACACACCCCCTACCTTTCCTAAAGCCTCCTTGTTCATCTGCTATCCTACTCTCCATCTTACTCTAATTCTTTCAATAACTCGACCATACACTTTACCAGGTATACTCAACAGACTTATCCCCCTATAATTTTTGCACTCATTTGTCCCCTTTGCCTTTATACAAAGGAACTATGCATACTCTCTGCCAATCCCTAGGTACCTTACCCTCTTCCATACATTTATTAAATAGCACCAACCACTCCAAAACTATATCCCCACCTGTTTTTAACATTTTTATCTTTATCCCATCAATCCCAGCTGCCTTACCCTTTCATTCTACCCACTGCCACATGAACTTCCCCCACATTCTCAACTAGCTCTTCATTCCTACAAGATGTTATTCCTCCTTGCCCTATACACAAAATCACAGCTTCCCTATCCTCATCAGCATTTAACAATTCCTCAAAATATTCCCTCCATCTTCCCTATACCTCTAACTTGCCATTTATTAACTCTTCTCCTATTTTTAACTGACAAATCCATTTGTTTCCTAGGCTTCCTCAACTTGTTAATCTCACTCCAAAACTTTTTCAACAAAATTTGTTGATAACATCTCGCCCACTCTCTCATTTGCTCTTTTTACATTGCTTCACCACTCTTAACCTCTCTCTCTCCATATACTCTTCCCTCCTTGCATCACTTCTTGGTAAAAACCTCTCATATGCTAACTTTTTCTCCCTTACTACTCTTTACATCATTCCACCAATCGCTCCTCTTCCCTCCTGCACCTACTTTCCTGTAACCACAAACTTCTGCTGAACACTAACACTACATTTTTAAACCTACCCCATACATCTTTGACCCCATTGCCTATACTCTCACTAGTCCATACATCCTCCAATAGTTGTTTATATCTTATAAACCTTCACCTCTTACTTGATGCTTCTATTTTCTTTGTATCCCATCTACCTTTTACTCAATATAGCTACAACTAAAAAGTGATCTGCTATATCTGTGGTCCCTCTATAAACATGTACATCCTGAAGTCTACTCAGTCTTTTATCTATTAATACATAGTCCAACAAACTGCTGTCATTATGACCTACATCATATCTTATATACTTATTTATCCTCTTTTTCTTAAAATGTGTGTTACCTATAACTCAACCGCTTTCTATACAAAGTTCAATCAAAGGGCTCCCATTATCATTTACACCTGGCACCCCAAACTTGCCTACCACACCCTCTCTAAATGTTTCTCTTACTTTAGCATTTAGGTCCCCCTACCACAATTACTCCCACTTGGGTCAAAGGTTCCTATACATTCACTTAACATCTCCCAAAATCAATCTCTCCTCTACACTCCTCTCTTCTCCAGGTGCACACACACTTATGACCCACTTTTCACATCCAACCCCTTTTTTAATTCACATAGTCCTTGAATTTACACATTTATATTCCCTCTTCTCCTTCCATAACTGATCCTTCAACATTATTGCTACCCCTTCCTTAGCTCTAACTCTGATACTGCTGACTTAATTCCATTTATTTCTCCCCATTGACACTCCCCTACCCCCTTCAGCTTTGTTTTGCTTAGGACCAGGACATCCAACTTTTCATTCATAATAATAGCAATCATCTGTCATCCACACTACATCCATGCACATTCAAACATCTCAGTTTTATAATTTTTTTTTTTTTTTAGTAAATGTTTACAGAAGAGGTTACTAGCCCATTGCCCCCGGTATTCTAGTCGCCTCATACAACACACACGGCTTATGGAGGAAAGATTCTTTTCCACTTCCCCATGGACAATAGAGGAAATAAAGAACAAGATCTATTTAGAAAAAAAAAAAAAAAAAACCTAGATGTATGTATATATGTGCATGCGTGTTTGAGACATGACACCAACAATCCTACCATCATGTAAAAGTTACAAGTTTTTGTTTTGCAGACATGATTTTTATAATTACTGGGGTACCTGTAGGGATCTCTAAACTTTCAGCAGTATCTTTCCATTTAAAATTTAATGGGTGTAACGGGTTATTTTAATTTAGTTTGATCATATTAGTAGCTATATTCATGAAAGTAGTGTGCTTGTGTTGTATAACATTTTACATTTCTAAGAGCATTGAATAAATCTTGGTTCCTCCCTTTACATGCTTAGTTATATCATGGCAGGTAAAGTGAATTATTATAATAATCAAAAAGAAGCGCTAAGCCACAAGGACTATACAGCAGGTAAAGTGAAGAGGTACCTGGCTGCATTCATATTAAAAGATTATCTTGTAAAATATAATCTTGTGCTTGTCAGGGATTAAATGTTCAATGACTGTATTTTAATTATGTAGGTAATCCATAATTTTTTCTGCATATGCAGTAAAATATATTTATATTTTAACATTTCTCTCTCAGGTTCTTGGACTCGTATTGTCAATTGTTCTGTTCAAGATGATAGACTGAGCTTCAAATGCTACACTGTTGGTGTTGAAGAGCCTTGCAAAATGGTAAAAATCAGTTTAGTTTAAAAATATCTTCGTAACGCCTTTGAGGTATGGATTATACTGAGGTAATGTTTGCTGAAATGTCTGCGAACAGTGGGTTGCTTGTACAAAAATATTAAATTGCTGCATTTTGGCTACTGAAGCATTTCTCTTCATATTCCCAGCAGACTTCCTGAAATTCGTCTATAGATTCAGATGGCTCTGCTAAAAGCATTCTATACAGTACAGAAACCTTCATATTCTTGGAAAACATTTCTTGAAATAATGAAAAGATAAATATTCAGAAATAGATAATTTTACTGTCTTGAACTAAATGAAAAAACTTTAGAATGCAGATTTAGATTATTATAAGTAAGCTTTTGGGAGTGTTGCTACTGTACACTGCCCAATATTTTAATTTGCACAAAGGAGTTTTTCAGTACTATAGCTAAAATGTCAGAAATAATGTACATACACTACCCTAGTCCAGATGTATTTTTCCTCCCTGAAGTTCTGTATACAAAGTTTTTTTTTTTTATATATATATACAAAGTTTGTGTGATTGTAAAGGTTTAGGAACCTTTTTTTTTCTTACTCCATTTTACATATGTAATCGATTAAAATTTATAAACGTATGTTTTTTAGCTCCTGGTCTCATCACATTTGAGGTCTTAAACAATTGAGTCAAGTTAGGAGCAAAGAATGTGTATATATATTTTTTTATTTATTATCACACTGGCTGATTCCCACCAAGGCAGGGTGGCCCAAAAAAGAAAAACTTTCACCACCATTCACTCCATCACTGTCTTGCCAGAAGGGTGCTTTACATAACTACAGTTTTTAAACTGCAACATTAACACCCTTTTTAATAGTAATCCACTGCCATTTCCCAGTCTTTCTAGCACTTGAATAGCTGAGCAAAGGACATAGTACTATTCTTTTTTTAAGCTATTGGGATAAATCTAAATTTTTGGCAAGTTTTATGGATGGATGCATATAAGCAAAATTGGTATTTGTGCTAATAAGCACAACAAAGTACATTCATCTAGTTTATCATTTGTAGTCTCCTAAATGAGTGATGTCAACCGTCTTGTGTAGGTGTTTGTGTAACCTGTAAAAAGGACTTTCACTATAGGAAAAAATTATTACCAGTGGATGTTTAGTATTGATCTATAAAATGCAGAATGAAGGGTACTTGGTTTGTATTCATACACAATACAATAAAGGTGAATTTGCTAATTGGCAGGTGTCTAGCTTCTTTTGATTGATGCTCTTTAACCCTTAAAGGCTGTTTCTTGGATGCTCGGCAAAGACTCTTGATTCATGGAAATGCAAACATCTTTCCTGGATCAACCCTGATTACCTTTCATTCTCCATGCACTCCAACTTCTATGGGTTTTCCAAAAAAAAAAAATTAATAAAATACAAACTTCATATTCTCCACTTATGCAAGCACAGGTTACCAACTTTATTGAAAATTTCTGTGAAAGTGCAAAATTCTTTCATCAAAAATCTCTCCTTATGAATGGTTGCCTACAACTGCATTTGTCATATTATACTTTCCAAATTTATATGTTGACTAAAAAACAAACTAATGCTGGTTCATTCTTCATTATGATTATTATAAATCAAGGGGGAAGCGCTAAACCCGGATGATTAACAAGACCAGTTGGGGGGGGGATGTGGAAGGCATTCAGGCTAATTCGGGGAACTGGACACAGTGGTCATCTTCAGTAAGTGGAAATTAACTAAATCTAAATCTTACATGTGATAAGCCTGTGACTGATTTACTTTAAGTTGGTAATGTTTTGTTCTAGTCAGTATTGTGCCGCAACAGTAAGTTTACAGACTCACGGAAGGCTCGGATATTTTGTTTGCTTTCATTCCGTTCTCACTGGGTACCTTTCAATTTGTTTCAGCTCTTGAGTAAACATTTAGTAAATTTTGAATGTAGAGCAGACTCTGAAATTTCTAGATAATATTGAAGCTGTTTGTACATAAATGTCAAATTTTGAAACCCCATGAACCAGAGCCAACTGACCTCTCAACATATCGGGAATGTGCATAAATATTGTGAAGTAATATTCTTGAAAGTTAGTATAATCCTGTGATCGAACTAGCAAATTTCCTTAAATAACTAAGAAATTTTTTTTAAGAATTAACAATGTACAAAAAAATTTCTTCATGGCAGTTGTCAGTCTTTTACCACTGCAGTTTTGTCTACAGTACATGTGCAGAAAATATGGCAGATGCTATGGGAGAACTTGACAATCAATAATCGTACACTGCAGTCAAGTTATGAGTTAGACATTGTAAAGCCTGATATTGAAAGTGGGAAATGGGCTTCTCTCCTGGGATGTCAGTATTAGCTGATCTTTAACATGCATGATAAAATTTTATGGATCTTAAAATTACTAAATCAAAAAGTTTTAGGAATGGAGTAGAAATCTGATCTACTTAATAAATTTTATATAGGGTAAATTTAGATATGCAAATTAGATACTTGAATTCAGTAATGTTTTCTATGCTGTGATGTAATGACTGGTGTGCAATTTTTCTTGTATGGTGACCTCACCTTGAATAAACAATCATAAGTGAAAGAAATTTGAAAGCAAAGAGGCACTAAATTCCATTCTGAACCCTTATCAAGGTAAACTGAATTGTTCCATTTCCAGTTTGTTCATTAGTTTTGACTTCATCTATTCTGGTCTTGTGCATGTACACACTTACTCTTTGTAACCCTCTTACTCTACTCTGATACCGTGTATTAACATGGTAACTATTGTAGATTTGTAAGAATTTTTTTTTTTTTTTTTTTTAAAACCTGTGACTTGGGTAAGTTAAGAAGTTGCCAAGGCTTTTGTAATGTTTACAGATCGTGTGCCTAGCCCCATTGAGGATATCACAATTACACGAGACGATAACTTGGGCTTTTTACATTTTGTGCTATAAAAGTGAAACAAAATCTTGATGCTTTCATGGGATTAGTGATAACTCCATGCCAGACATTGTGGGATTGACCCTCAACTATAAATGTTAATTATTTGCTATTGTGGAGTGTTTCATGCATGTGTACACAGTACATGTCCTAGGGTATATGTACTTTATTTTTACACCTTTTTAAATGTTTGTCAAAGCAGTAACACTTAGTTTTTTTTTTTTTTCAACTGAACTTTATTAAAATGTGGTTTTGTTCCAAAGTTTTAAATCTGTTTTAAACTGTCCCATTTGAAATCATACATAATTTAAAAAATCTACACATCTTAAGGCTTTCTTAAAGGGTATATTTACATATTTTTGTGAACCTGTGATGAAATTTTTGTGGTCATAACTGTTTGCTTACCATACACTAAAGGTATTGTAAATCTGTGGAAAATCCTTTATTAAAGAGCTGCAAAAAAAATTAGTTGTAGGTACAGTATGTAAAGTATTGATTAGTTTAAATTGCAGCACATGTTAAATAGATTTTCTTAACTTTCTGAACATTCTGTAAAATTTCTAATTAAAAATTGGTATTTCATTTCAGTACTGTGCACCATGTTTTCAGTTACTAGTCAGTTGAGAAGTATTAAAAAAAAAAAAAAATCCTTTGCTTCTCAGTGTGAGGGAACCTTCTACACAGCCATGCAACTCGTCACAGCTGTAAGGAAGAAACTTGTATCTCTTGGCTTAAGTTGGTCAAGCGTGTCTAGTAATGGTCTTATGAAAGACTTGCTGTTCACAAGTAAAGTTGAAAACCTCCCATAAAATACTTATCTCCGATTTATACAAGGGGATCATGAAAGTTCTCGGTGCTGAATAATCTACTCGATAGATGATATTCTAAAGTTAGGTTTATAGAAATTTTAATTTAAATTATTTTTATAACTACAGTTTTCAGAAAAATAAGGATTGATAACTACAGCATTTTGACTGAACACCATAGGACAGTGTTTTTTTTTTTTTTATAGCCAGAAGGAAGATATTGGAAATATAGCAACAATTCTGTGTAATATGCTTTGCCAATTTTAGGTACTGTATGATTTTTAAAGTACAGCAATACTGTAATGAAAGTTTTCATATTAAGTCATAATTTGGAAAATAACAAACTTCAGTTGATTGCAACATCAGATAACTTCTTTGCAGGGGAAATAACTGGTAAATGTTTATTGCCATAAAGTTGCTTGTACTGCAAGTGTAGCTGTACCCATTATATAAAATACTGTATGTACATTGTGCACTATGTACTTAATGTGTGTAGTATTGATTTAGAATGGGGATGGGGGGGGATTATCTGGAGTTTATCTGGAGAGAGTTCCGGGGGTCAACGCCCCCGCGGCCCGGTCTGTGACCAGGCCTCCTTAGGTCAGTGTCCCAGGATGCGACCCACACCAGTCGACTAACACCCAGGTACCCATTTTACTGATGGGGAACATAGACAACAGGTGGAAGGAAACACGTCCAATGTTTCTACTCTGGCTGGGAATCGAACCCAGGCCCTCACCGTGTGAAGCGAGAGCGTTAACCACCAGGCCACCAGAGTGGAGAAATTTTAATACAGCAGATAAAATCGATGCTATAAGATGCAACAACCTGGCAGTCTCCAGTTTTGCTAGTGTGAAACTATATAATCTTTCTTTAATTTATATTCCACTTAGCCATCTTAAATTGTTTTAGAAAAGTTTAGCACTGTATGAATGTAATTGTCAATATCAAGTTTAGATAATTTCATTCATTTGGTGATCCTGTATTGAAAAATACCAAAATTGCATATACTAGAGGAAATTGTAATTTTTTTATTGTAATAAAAAAATTTGTACACATCACTGCAGTAATAAGATTAAATATTGCCCTTAACATCCATTGAGCAAATTTAAATTTTTTACTCTTTTTGATATCTATACAATGTGAAATAAATGTTAAAAGAATCACTGTTTCCAAGCCTTTACATAATTTATAACATGTTCATAAACTTTCATTAATGGTTTCATTGAGGAATTAAACAGTTTTCCACATCCTCTCCCCCCTTGGGAGGTTCCTTGATGCTGGTGAGAGGCTCTTGATCCAAGGAATTACATTCCTTTCATCCTTGGATCAAACGTGATTGCCTCCCGTTTGCTGCACGATTCTTGCAATCGAGGGGGTGCTAAACCCGTAGGATTATGCAGTGCCTGTGGAAGGTATTCAGGCTTAATTCAGGGAACTGGAGCACAGGTCCAATTCCCTAGATCAAGAGCCCCTCACCCTCAAGGAACTTTCCTCAAGAGGATTTGTTGCACAAATACAGAAACTTAACACTTCCCATAAACATATCCTCTGACTGCCTTCATGGGAGAAAAATTGAGCCGTGGTGAATAGGCTCGATTAGGGGGAGCTATACAGCCCTTGTGGGTTTAGTGCTCAGTTATGATTATAACCGATTAGAGGAATTTGACTTTACCTCTACCTCTGATCCTTTCTAAATAACCACAGCCAACTCTCCCCTTTCTATGGGGGGGGGGGGAATGTCTCCCTTGGAAAATAGGCTCTCCAAGGGGAGCTCCTTGGTACGGTGAAGAGGCTCTTGGTCTGAGGAATTAGACAATTTGGTCTCCTTCCTCATTGAATCTAATTACCCCCCCCCCCCTTTCCTATCCCATCCTCCCCACCCCCTATTTTTCCCATCCCAGTTGTAGCCTTTGGGGCAGTGGTTCCCAAACTTTTTCAGCTTGTTACCCAATTTAACATGCCACATAAAGCATGTTACCCCTTTCACAAAATGTTGTTATTGATATATATGGCTAAATTAAAACACTCGAGATATTTTCTTTTATTTATTGTATTTGAACATTGTGCATCTCTAATGACTATTACCAAAGATGTCAAGAACATCAGTGGGATGGATGGAGTTGCATACTTGAAGCTAGTTTAGGAATTCTTGGCTTCGTGGTTGAAAGTGCCAGCCTGGCATCGTTTGCAACATTCAAGCGAGTCCTCTTTTTTGTTTTCATACCCAGCACAGTTGAGAAGCCCTTCTCGCACAGATACGTTGTTGAGAATGATACAAACAACTTCAAGGCTCTCTTGGACAGAGTTGGCGAGTCAGGTAGTCATGAAATCCAAAAGGAATCTGCATTTTGGTTTTGGAATTTGATTTTCAAGGCTTCATTGGCTCGCATTGTGATCCACTCCTCCTTTGCAGGGAAATCATCATCATGAATGGCATCATCAGGTACAGAGAAGGGATGAATGATCCACTGAAGAGTGGCTGTTTCTTGGTCACTCTGGAAAGTAGTGATGCATGCTTGTTCCAAGCCCCTTCAAATGGTTGCTCATTTCTTTGTTGATGGTCTGTAGAAGTGATCCAGTATCATGACTATTCTCCTCAACAAACTGGTCTAGGGTGGGAAACTGGGCGATCACTCCTTTCTCCAAGCGCCGAATCCAGAGTCTCAGTTTCCCCAGAAATGCAGTCAGTGTGATGGACAGGTCGATCTGGGCTACTGAGTGACTTTTGTCCTGAAGCATACTTGTCAAAATACTTTTGGGTTTCCACACACTTAGCTATATATTTCTTCTTTTCTAATGCTGTATATTAGTTTTTGATGTTTATTGTTATTTGGTTTAACTTTATTACTTACTTATAATAGGTTTACTTTACAACTTTATATACTAAGACAAAGTTAACAATAATCCTCATACCGGGTACTGCATTGTTTTCTTGATTTTCAGAATTCATAACTTTTTTTTCTGTCACCCCTCCATTACCCCCCAAAAATGGTTAATTTACCCCCAGTTTGGGAACCACTGCTGTAGGGGAAGGAAGACGGGGTAGGGGTTGTCCTTGAAAAGGTTGGAGGGAGGGGGGTAAAGGTGGTTGTGTGGGCGAGGGGCTTAGACTTCCAGCAAGTGTGTGAACATATAGATAGGAACGAATGGAGACAAATGGTTTTTGGACCTGATGAAGTGTTGGAGTGTGAGCAGGGTAATATCTTGTGAAGGGATTCAGGGAAACTGGTTAGCCGGACTAGAGTCCTGGAAATTGGAAATACAATGCCTGCACTTTAAATGAGGGTTTTGGGATATTGACAGCTTGGAGGGACATCTGAACTGTCGTATCTGAGCACCTCTGCAAAGACAGTGAATATGTATGAGCGATGGTGAAAATGTTTAATGATGAAAGTTTTCTTTCTTTCTGGGTCACCCTGCCTTGGTGGGAAATGGCCGATGTGTTTAAAAAAAATAATAAATAAAATGTAAAATCAGTGCTATAGCCTAATCAAGTGGTTTTTGCTAAGCCTAGCTTAGTTTATTCTAGTGTGCACTGGGTAGGGTATAAGGTTATTTCCAGGGAAGAGCACTGCCTGTCATCCTTCAAAGAAGAGGCTCTCGATGCAAGAAACAGGATCTGTCCTCCCCTTCCTTGAATCAAACCAGGATATGTAACATCCTACCCTTCTCCCAGTGTTGCACTGTAAGCCGTGTTCAACAATATCATTTTGTAATCTTTTCTTCTAAATTTAGTACAGCCTCTCCTCACTTAGCGACATACTCATTTACTGATGCCTCGGACTTACGACGGGCTCTCTGACCGGTATTCATACCAAAATACAGTGGACCCTCAATACCTTGTGAGCAGTATTCAGAACTACTTAGAGCCGCCACTGAAACCTCTTGGTACTCTAAACCCAACAAACTTCCATAATAATCATACCTCCTTCAAAAACCATACTTATTACAATGATTCTAAACTTCGTACACTGAAACGTACTGCTCGCAGACTAGGCTTAGCCTATAGAAAACATCATACCCCTGGAATGCTGAGGCTCTTCCAAACTGCCCTTGCTGTTGCCAGAGAGCGTATGACAGAGCTGCGGCAAACAGACTGGGAAAAATTTGTCAACAGTCTTAATGCTCACACCCCACTTAGCCGGGCATGGAGGGACATAAATAGAATTAAGGGTAACAGAACTGGGTAGATCGCGCACCCTCATCCCTTATATAGGGCGAATGAGTTAGTCAGTGCTTGGGCTGCTACATCTAGCTATGACAATCTTCCCAGTACCACACAGGAAAAATTCAATGACAAATATGATGCAAGGGAGAGACTTGTTTGCTTTATGCTCAGCAAGGAAGATGACTGCAACATTCCTTTCACTAATTATGAACTTGATGCAGCACTAACTAAGGGCAACTCCACGTCGCCTGGTGAGGATGGTATTACTTACAACATACACAAATAACCCGCACATAAAAGAGAGAAGCTTACGACGACGTTTCGGTCCGACTTGGACCATTTACAAATTGTGTGACTTTGTAAATGGCCCAAGTCGGACCGAAACGTCGTCGTAAGCTTCTCTCTTTTATGTGCAGGCTATTTGTATATCGTTCCAGTCACGGTATTGTGCCTTTTTTTTTGTTACTTACAACATACTCAGATTGCTGTGTCGAGTACCAGGTAATCCATTACTTGAATTATATAACATGAGCTATGTAACTGGGGAGCTCCCTCAATCTTGGACCAACAGCCTCATCATTCCAATTCCTAAGCCCAATCAACAAAATGCATTTCGCCCAATATCTCTTACTAGCTGCTTGTGTAAAACATTTGAGAGAATGATTCTTAATCGTCTCATGTACAGAATCAAACAATTTTTGTCTCCCAGGTTACATGGTTTCGTGCATCATTGCATAGCCACCTTTCTCACCCTGCACACTGACAGCTCATACACTGCCTTCCTTGACCTTAAATCCGCTTTCGATGTAGCCAACCGACGATGTAATCATTAGGGAACTTGCCAGAATGGATGTTGGAGGATGGCTTCTCCGCTGGATTAAAGGCTACCTGTCCAACAGAAAATCGTCTGTGTTGTTCCAGGGACATAGAAGTGTAACTAAAGACTTTGAATTAGGAACCCCACAGGGAGGTGTGCTCAGTCCCACACTGTTCAATATTCTAATTAATGCATTACTTAATGCTATGCCTAGTCAGCCCCATCATTATATGATTAGTTTTGCTGATGATATAATGATTCACACCACCGGATTCTCCAACACCCAAAACATTCTTAATCATGTACTAGCCTCGTGTCAGGATCTGGGGTTGATAATCTCTACTGATAAAACACCCCTCAAGGAAGGTTCCTTGATGTTGGCGAGGGGCTCTTGATTTAGGGAATTGGATCTGTGCTCCAGTTCCCCGAATTAAGCCTGAATGCCTTCCACATCCCCCCCCCAGGCGCTGTATAATCCTCTGGGTTTAGCGCTTCCCCCTTGATTATAATAATAATAATACTGATAAAACAAAGATACTCAATAGGCGTCCTCCTCGACAGAGAGGCACAGAATTTGACCCCTTCAGGGCATTTCTGGGCGAGGATGAAATTGTGTCACTGGAAAATCTACCTTCCACTGCAATTGATGACGCAATCAGGTCCCTGCATAATCGAATAATTGAAGCTACTAACGCAACTTGTCAATTAGCTTCCACAAAGATATACCAACAATATAAACATACTAGGGAAATTAGAGACAATTTAAGAAATTATCAAGCAGAATGTCGAAGGCATCTTCAAACGCGACAACCACCAGTAGCTACACTGCACCGATTAAGGCAAGAATTAATTAACATGATTAGTCATCACAAACGGGACTTATGGAAATTGCTAGTTCTTCAAGCTAATCAGTATAAACGTGAACCAGCAAAATTTTGGAGTAAGATCCGACAACTTTTAGGGGCAAAGCACAAGGCTCCTAACTACCTAGTTCATACCTTCACTGATGAGGATGATGAAGATGTTGAAATTAAACTTGACGATTCACAGGACCAGGCTAATTTGATGGGTGATGTACGGGAGAAAATTCTCTCCCACAATAACAGTCGTCAATTTAACAATAATCACTATCAGTTGGTAAATGAATGGAGAGATGAGAACTTGGATGATCTACA